TCTAGTCACAGCTGACCGAGTTCTAAGCCTAACTACGATAGATTAGGGAAATTGTAAACGCATTCAATGTTGAATACTTCATCATATGTAAATTCATCTCAGCTTTCAAGGAAGTTATGTATCTACTGAAGAAGCACACTTAGCAAATTAGCGACCAACTGTACGTTTGAAATGTTCGCCTAACAAGTCGATAGCTTTCCGCCATGTTTCTGTCCTATCACGCTAAGGCGAGGCACTGGATATAAATCAAGATTGTCTACTGCATTATTCAACTCTGTGCTTCACGCATTTCATGCGCTGCTTAAGCTAGCTTTAGACGGTGCCAATTTTTCGTGCAACTTGATGCATGCGTCGTAGCGCAACTATGACGCATGCGTCTCTGCATGCACTCTTCGAAGCTCACCAATCGTTTGCTATCAGTTTTCTAAAAATTCGAAAAACTGCTGATAAAAGTCCGAAAGCATTTTCTACAATGCGCCGGGCTCTAGATAGGCTATAATTGTATATTCTCCTTGGAGATCCTGCTGGTATATTAACCGGAAATGGTTTCATAATATTGGTTGTCAAAGGAAAGGCGTCATCTGCTACGATCACATAAGGTACTTCTAAGTGCCTGCTCTTAGAAAAAGGTGTTAGTTTTGGTATATTCAATGCGTTATTAACCAAGCCTCTACAGAAAGAGGTAGTGTGGAAAACGCCTCCGTCTGACATTCGGCCCTGGGATCCTACATGTGCATATATGAATTTATAGTTTGCATCAACGATCGCCATTAAGACGATACTAAAAGTTATTGTAATTATAGAAGGAACTACCACTACTCGCTGGACACTGGATTTACACATGCTTCTCGTCAAGAGCCCCTGTGCAATGTGGAAAATTTCACTGGTTTTCAAAATGTTTAGCTATTTCAAGCCATTCATCTTCAGTTGAAGGAACCTAAAAGAAATGTGTTTTTTTATTATAAAATTTTATTTAAAAACTTAATTTTTATAACTAGAAAACATTTTCAGGTACTTGAACACGAAACTACTTCATCAAGTACAACTCAACAGGGTTTGGATTTTGCAACACCTTCATCAAACACTAAACGCCAAAAAAAATCGGCGCAGGTGGACGAAGCCTACCATTTTTTGACAAAGGCAAAGGAAAAATTGACCAAACAAGATCGATTTTCCTATTTTGGAGAAGTAATTGCTTGAAAATTAAGAAGCTTAAATGACCCACGTTTACAAGCTGAAACCGAGTTTAAAATTAACAAAATTTTATTTGAAGCGGAAATGCAAAGTTTAAATAAGCAGTCAAGCTATCCCACAATAGTGCGTTCAATTGATACTCTGCAACCAGATAATAGCCGCCCCGGATCTTCCATTGCAAATTATAGTTATGAATGCTCAAACTCAACTACACCAGAAATGCTCAGCCCAAACTCAGAAACGCTAAATAAGTGGCCAAGCTGTCCTACTATGGTTCGTTCAAGTGACACTCGACTCGGTAATAGCTGCACTGGATCTTCAACTACTAATTCTAGGTGTGAATTGTCAAACATGTTGAGCCCAAATTCAGAAATGCTTCCAAATGATATTACAATGGAATCCAACCAGAATTCTGCGCTAGTACAACTACAAGTTATTCAACAACTGAATCCTGATATGGCAGAATTTTTGAATTTTCATAAATAATACTTTTTAAGTAAAGTTTGTTATCTTGCTTAAAAAAAGACTATTTAGATGTTAAAGTAGTTTGTATATTGGGTTTCTCGTATAAAGTTATTTTTTCTACTTTGGAAGTACATTAATCTTCTTACCTTAACATAACCCTTTCAAAACTTGATTCAGGGCATTACACACTTCAGGTATAATTAGTGAAATAGTTGAGTCAGAAATTTTAAATGTATACATTAAACTCTTGTATGAATCTCCGGATGCTAAATATCTCAGACAAACTGCCAGTCTTACTTTTTCGGGTATAGCTTCTCTCATATTTGTATTTGAATTTCTAATAATTGGCCCAAACAATGACAAAAGTTCTTCAAAATCAGTTGAAGACATCCTAGTAAAGTTTTGAAAGAACCAACCACCATCTAACAGCATTTTTTCTATAAAGGAATAGCTATGCTTTTTTTTCAGCAATTCCCGTATCCAACACTTGCGTTTATTACGTTGTTTATTTCTCGCTATTATGTTAAACGCAGCACAAACCTCCAAACTTCAAAACATCCATGTTAAATTATTCAACACGCACCGATTCAAATTTAGGTGTAAATGATATGTTGCACGATATAAAAAGGCAACGGTTTTGTGCGCTATATTGCATACGCTGTTGCATGAAATGCCGCATGCGCTAACGCACAAAACGAAGCACCGTCTAAAGCTAGCTTTAGTGATATTCCAAATATACAACGTACATTTAAGAATAAGATCTGTCATAACGTACGAAATGTACACTTGGAATATGACAAGATTGTTATTATCGGAAGCAAAGCCCTATTAGCAGCCCATTTGCAGAACATTAAAAATATAAATGTTATTGTGAGGTACCTCCAGCCTTAATATACTGAGTGACAAAAAAGGTAAACACCTACGTATGTTTATCCGATTTCGATAGTTTTTGGCTTATATGTCTGTGTCTCTTACTAGTAAAATGAATTTTCAATAATGTGTTGAGGATCCACGATTTCTTATACACTCATTGACACGCCTGGGCATCGTGCTGATAAGGTGGTCGATATCCTGTTGGGGTATCTCATTCCAGGCTACTGCAACTTCGTGAGTAAGAGCTGCTAAAGCCTGTGGAGAGTGTTGCAAATTCAAGAGGCTACGATTTATCATGTCCCAGACATGTTCAATTGAACATAGGTCAGGCAATCGAGGTGGCTAAGGTGAACGGTTGGTGCGATGTTTATCCGTGAAGGCTAACGATGCTCTGGCAACATGCGATCTGGCATTGTCTTGCTGAAAAATCAGGTTTTGGATGGTGTTTAGTTATGGAATAAGATGAGGCTCCACTACTTCCGGAATATAGCGTCGGGCTGTCATATCGTCGTCCGTACCGCAAACAGTTATTTGATTTCATATATCTTTACTACTTTAGACAATATGAGCATAATTTATTCCAATAACATAGCTAAAAAGTGTGCTCATCATCTTCTGAGAAGTATAGAGGAAAGAAAATTCATCTTCTCAGCTAAACATGTTATCTATTTTTTTTTCCAGATACGCCTCTTTGCGGTAACCTTGACAATTACAATAGTCTAGCAGTTTGAAGATACGCCTTTCACTCCATATGGAATAAAATTAGATTAAATAAAAAAACACTTTGTTCTCAGATGTAAATAATACTCAAGCAACTCAAGGATAATACAGAACAAAAATAAGAAGATGATTTCAAACAAAAACATTTATGGATGGTCCTCATGAGGTAGTGAATCATAAAAACGTTGATGTTCTGGTAGAGTGATGGCAGGCCTATCGCCTTGGCAAAGTGAGGTCAAATCATTATATTTTTTATTTGTGATTTTTCATAGGTCGCTATTCAGAGGAGACAGCTCTTTTTTTAAAATATCGGAAACATTTCTTTTCATGGTTATGGACTTGTAGTGTGTTGGCTTATGGCTAGTCTTGAAATAGATTTTGTTGCAATTATCACTTGTCACTTTGAATTCCATCATATTTTTCCAATTCACATCCATGTCTTTATCATCTTTTCGAATAGATAATACTCTTAAGTCTGATGCGAGTTTTTTGAGGTCAAAAAAATTACGATAGTCTAAGGGACGAACCTTATATGGCTGTTTCTTCCTTGCTAATGCATAGACTGGCAATAACTGGCTCGGCACAATAATTTCACCTTCATTTTTCAAAGCGTAACTATTGCACTATGTGCTGAATCTCTTTAACGTTTGAGCAATTACTGACGAGATATAAAAGAGTGGTAGGCATTATGGAATTCTTATTTTGGCCACTACAACCATCAGCAAATAAGTCAACAGTATTGTAGCCTTGTTTGTCTTTTTCGGAAATAAATAAATAAACAGCAGTCGATATTTCCGAGCTACCTCGTTTATTTTCAGTCTCACTCCATGTATAACAAAAACATTCTCGAGATGCCACTTCATACATAGTTAGATTGTTGCCAGCAAGCCGTGTTTTATAAAATACGGAACAATGATTAGAAATTGGTAAGTATATAACTTGTTGGAGATCAAATGTAGCACCTTTGTATCATTTTTAGCTTTTTCTTTGCAGCTATTCTTTATTTCTCTTACCGTTTCCTTTTCTAAAATGTGGGCCAAGTACTCCTTTTCCAAATTAGCCTTTACTTCTTCCGATCCTTCTCTGTAACACTTGCAAAGGCCACATTGTATTTTTTTTGGTTTGTGAAATGAGAGGCTCATGGATCTGAAAATTTGTCTATACAAAGAAAAACTTCCCTTTGTTTGTTGGTCTTCCAGTTTGTACATGTGATACATTGTACTTAGAGATAAATCTTCATGTAGGTATTGTTTAGTTGAGGACTTCCGGCAGTAATGTGACTCTACTCTGGGGAACCTATTTATGTGCTCTATGATACTTTTTCTAATGACTATGTCTCTTGATGATTGTAACTCCCGTCGACCTCCACGATTTTCTTTTTCTAGCACACTCGTTGTTCTATTCAATTTCTTTACTGCGGTTCTGCAAACTTTCTCACTTATCCCAGGGGTTCCAAGGAACATTTTTTTACAACCTAATTGTCGGATACCTTCTAGAGGTAAGAAAAAATAATGTGTTTGCTTACGGCGTGGATCATTGCTATTTGTAGTTCTTTGTTGTTGGAGGTCACCAAGACTATAAAACTGTGAGAATATCATTGTTCTTAAAGGACTGCTGAACAAATAACACATCCTTTTCCTTTTCTTACACATTTGTATATTGCAGATTCCCTTAAGTGCTTTCTCCTGCACAATATTCTTAGTTACAGGCGAAATATATGTTTCGCCTTGATTCCTCAACGTTTTTGCAATTCTTCTTTTATCTTCTCTGACTTTTTTTTCCTATCACCTTCTGCCTGGGAACCTTCTACAAAAAAATCTTCAGGGCGCCTCTCTTCCTGTTTCTCTTTGCTAAGTACACTGCTCTGTACTGTCCTGTGTCCGTCCTGGCAGGATAGGGTATCATCTTCAAAATGCTTCCAACCTAGCAAAATTGAGCATTGAAAGCAGGAACTGAACACATCTCCTTTACAGCTTTTAACTTCACAAGTTTGATGATAGTCCGGATCTTCCGGATTATAAAACTCGACTGCAGCAAAGGTGTGACTCAATTCGGACAAAACATCATATGTATTCTGTAAGTCAAAAGGACATATCTTAGTTACCACTGAGAGAGTAGCAAAAAATGGACACCGCATGTAGGCGTATCTTCATTTACGCCTATTTGCGGTGTATTGTATTTAATTTCTGAGAGATACGACGTTTAGTTTTATGCTGATATCTCTATGAGCGAACTACTTAGAGTTACGCCACTTTGCGGGATTGAAGATATGCTATACCTTGTTGATTTGAATCCGTTAACTCGAATTTGATTTTTTTGTCAGATACGCCTGCCTGCGGTATGAACGACGATATGTGTACTATGACCGTCGCCGAGTGTAGACGTGTGTGAATATCTCTCTTAAACACAGTTAGTTGAGTGCTAGTAAAGTCCACTCTTCAAATTTTCATCAGTCAGTGTATATATTCGACTTTCATAATGCCAACTAAAAACCAGGCAGAGTTTGAGAGACGTTGGTGGAGGCTCTGAGATCAAATAATTTTGCAAATGCAATTAGTGAGGCTATCAGTACCAACATAACAAGGAAACTGGCTGAAAAGTTTCACTACTACGTCGCCAAAATTGCATCTCTTGAAGCTGAGATCCAGTCACTGAAAACAGGTAATAATAGCCAGGTTGCAACGAATGAATACAAATTGGAACAAAAACTCGATCATATACAGCAACATTCTGAAAACAATAAACTTCGATTTTTTGGAGTGAAGGAGGTTCCGAATGGAAATACCACAACAAAGGTGAGCGAGTTTCTTGCAGAGAAATTGAAGGTCGATATAGACGAGAGTGATATTGTTGCTGCATACAGGGTGGACCAAAAAACTTGTGGCCGGCCAAGGCATTTGGTGGTCACTTTTAAAAGTAATGTTATCTACAGCAACATTTACAACAAGGAGAAGTCGCTGAAAGGTACTGGTGTGATAATTATCACATTATTGATTATAATCAAAGAACATCTTACTCTATTACGTCTGAACTTGGTCAAGGAGGCAGCTGAAAAATATGGATTTTGAAATGTATGGACACGGAACGGTAATATTTTTGCCAAAACTGAAACAGGAGTGGAAAAGGTACTGTATAATGTCTAACTTTTTCCTTACTGACTGTGTTGATAAGTGTCTTTTGTGTGCCGATAGTGTTTATTTGATATTTTGCAGTTAGTCTTAGAATAGTCACTTAAGTTATGAGAGATATGTGTCTATTGGGTCACTTAAACATACAATCACTAGCTCCTAAACTAAACCAGCTAAAGCTCTTTTTAGAAGAGAAACAATTCGACATTTTGGCTATTTCGGAAATGTGGCTAAATGATCAAATCAGTTCTGATGATTTAATGATTGAAGGGTATAATTTGATTAATAAAGATCGAAATTCTGGTAGAAGTGGTGATGTTCTGTTATATATTTCTGTTAAGATCAAATATGACGTGATACAAGTAAGCTGTGATATAGAACAACTATTTGTTAAGCTAGTTTATAATAGGTGCAGTTTTGTGGTTGGTGCAGTATACAAGCCTCCTCAAACTAAGTATAAACATTTTATTGATTCTCTGGAGACATCAGTTACAATCGCTATGTCGTATGTGGATAATATTGTTTGTGTTGGTGATGTAAATGTTAATTTTTTAAATGTTGTATGTCCAGCAAGTGAATATTTTTATTCTATGTTATCGTCGCTACAATTGAACCAAATGGTCACTGAACCTACACATATCACTCCTCAGTCTAAATCATTAATAGATGCACTTATTTGTAATAATGAATCTTTTGTTACTTCAGTATTTGTATATCCTTCACAGTTTTCAATGCACGAGTGCGTAGGTTGTCAGCTAAAATGTGATAAGCCTAGAATGGAGCCCATTTTTTTTTACTTATCGTGATTTTAGTAAATTCGATGTATGTGCTTTCGGAAATGAACAGACAAACTCACACCTTGAGGAAATATTCAGTATTCATGAGGTGGATTTAAAAATAGAAAAATTGAATAAAATCATCTTAAATGTATTCAACAAACACATTCCGTTGAGATCTGTTAAAATGACAAAAAGAAAAGCATTATAGAGCCAGTATTAAAGTTAGGAAGATGCATTCAGAGGAAAATTTCATGGAATATAAACGATTAAAAAATTTTGTCAATCATAAAATTGCTCAACAAAAAAGACGATATTTCGAAAACCTTTCTACAAAAATAGTAAGATAGTAAGACTTATGGAGAGAGTTGAAAACTATAAATATTAATTCCAATGGTAAACAACATATAGAGGACATATTTAAAGCTCCTGATGAAATTAATAACTATTTCCTTAATTGTATTCCAAAAAGTTGTAATAACTTGATGAATGACTTCAATATACAAAACAGGATTTGTTCAAATGAATTCCGTTTCAATCTAGTCGATGAGTTAATAGTGTTGAATACACTCACGACTATAAGAAACACATCTCCGGGTTCTGATGACATATCTATATCCCTGATCAAGCGATGTTGTCCGTTTATTTTGCCTTTCTTAGTAAACATTATCAATTCGGTAATAGTAATATCAAAATTTCCTTCTGCCTGGAAAAATGCAAATTTTACCCGGACCCCTAAAACTAATAATCCTAAACAGTTGTCAGATTTAAGTGCAATAAGCATTTTATGCGGACTGTCTAAGCTTGTCAAGAAAGTATTAGCAAAACAACTTATTAATAATTATTTAAACACAAATAGTATCCTCCCTTCCACGCAGTCGGGATTTCGAGCCGGTTTCAGCTGTGCAACTGCACTGCTTCATATAACAGACGATATAATTTTTTTTATTTTTTTTTATTTAGCTACATCCAACAGCCATAGCCAATTACAGGATGGATAAACATGAAAATATAAACAAATGCGTGTAGTGGATGTATGTAGAGAAAGCTAAAACGCTGCAAAAAAAAACTCAAAACACAACTGCGAGGGAAAAAAATAAGCATTAATGTCTCCCAAAGTGGCAGAAAATAAAAATATATCTAAAACGCTATTAACTGAATTATAATTACGGCACATTATATAGATAGGGGAAAACTGAAGTATGTCAGCCCTAGGCCTGGCTAAGTATAAAGTTAAACTAGTTTGAGACGCTAATCTAGGAACTAAGAAGTTAAGTTGTTCTAAGATGACACTGGAGTCAATAATGCCATGGATGAGCTTGTGAGTGAACTTAAGTGAATTCTTTTTGCGTCTGCTCTCAAAATTATAGATTTTGTGTCTCATTATCAACTCACTATGAGGAAAGCCAATAGCAGGATATATCCCGTCAGCTTTGTATGAGGGGTATTTTAAACTTTCTTTGAACGGAGTCTAAGCGGTCAATATATATTTGATGCTGATGCTGATGCTGTTAGATTTTAGTAAGGCTTTCGACACGATAGATCATGTAACACTTTTAGCTATCTTAAAATCCTGCGGAGCCTTTGCAGCTTTTCAAATCGTACTTGGAAAATCAGTCAAACAGTCAAGCTTGGTTCTCAAAAATCTACATCCATGACAATCAAATCGGGTGTGCCGCAAGGTTCTGTGTTGGGACCATTGCTTTTCACATTGTACACCAGTCAGTTTACCAAGTTTATTAAAACTAGCTCAGAACATATTTATGCGGATGACACACAGGTATATCGTTCTTTCTCGATGACTGACTGGAAAATAGTGAATAACCAAATTCAATCAAGATCTTGCTACTATGGCAGATATTTCTGCAAGGCGTTCACTCCTACTAAATCCTAACAAGTCTGTGGCTATGGTATTTGGTAAAAAATCTGCGCGAGAGTTTTTGGAATCAAACTTGAAATTAGATGTGAGTAATACTGTCAGGTAAGGCAAAGAATCTGGGCTTACTCATTAATCAGGATCTAAGGTACAGGGATCACATAAAGTAATGCATACAGAGAGCATACGCATCGCTAAAATTACTATATCCCCATAGATTATATTTATCAACAGACACTAACAAAATATTGTGCGATACGCTAGTACTTTCACAATTTATATGCTGTGCACCTGTATTTGGTCCATGTTTAGACCAAAACAGTGTTAATCGTATTCAACGTGTACAAAACTCGTGCATTCGACTTACATACGGGATTAAAAAGAATGAGCACGTTTCCCAAAAATTGAAGGAATTGAATTGGCTAAACATGGAGAAAAGATTGCGCTTATATGCTCTCTACTTATTTCACAAGATACTGTATTATAAGAACCCCCTCTATCTCTACCAAAAGGTGTCATTTCGCGCAGATGTCCATAATCTTGACACGACACTTAAGCGCCTAATCAATATACCATCTCACAGGACAGTTCTTTTTGAAAGAAGCTTCAAATTTACAATTCGTCGCCTGAATGCAGAACTATTGTATGTCCAAATTCTGCATTTTTCATATTTTAACACGACATTGTAGGTCATAGTCACCTACATTGCATGCAGAGGTATTGTAAGTCCCTGCGCAAGCGTTCCCCCACCACTGGTCTTGAACGATATTTTGGAGTAATAGCTTGAGGCGCGTCATTTCGGTGCAGAACTATAATAAGAGCAGATGATCACTTACAGAACGACTGTAAGTCCAATGTCAGCAACAAAAATAAGTCTACTTTCACGGACTAGTCATACTTTTTTCCGGTAAAGCATTCTATATCCAAAATTTCTCAGAAATGTTAGGCAAGACACAAACACGAAAAATAGCTCTCCTGTAAAATATGCATTTTGTGACTAAGAATACTTCTGCATTCAAGCGACGAATTGCTTAAGATTATAATTATCTTCCTAATTATCTTAAATCATGCAATCCACATACATTTAAGGAACTAGTTTCGGATTACTTGATGACCAATTAAATCATTACAACTTCCAAGTTTAATTCAGGTGACCCTATGTGTGTTTTTGGTTAGTGTTAGGTTAGGATATTTTTCTTACATGTATTCTACTACTGACAAGGGTTGAGTGGAAGAACACCTCTAGGTGAACTCCCCATTGAGGTTTTCCCAATACCATGATTTTGTTTCTCATGTGTGTGTAAAATGTACGTATATGATGGGAAAATAAAGAACATTATTATTATTATTATTATTATACTATTATTATTACTATTATTATTATATTGCCTTTGATGAAAATTAGTGGTGATCTACTACCATAAGCAATAGCAAATTCACTTAGCTGGGACACCCGGCGATTCCTACGCACTGTAGGCATTTTTAGCAATCACTAAAAGCCTTCTCAATAGGCTACACGAAATTTATCATTTAACTGACACCGTAAATGTACGAAAACTGAATGTTTCTTCATCACCAAACAATACACGCAGCTACCACAAAAGCTTAACAGAAAAACCTGACCATTGTTGTTCATGGCAAGATAACTCGATATGTAAAAAATTCTTGTATTCTAATAAACATACGTAGGTGTTTACATTTTTTTGTCACTTAGTATAGATTTTTATTATGCTTATCTACATCAGCTGTGGCACATTGATACTTAAGTTCATACTTCGCC